GCTCTGTAATATGTTGAGTCAAATGTCATGTCTGCCATCAGTAGATATTTGTAACCAGAAACTGACATATATTTCAGTAGTAAATATAATAGTTCTAGAAATAAATAATTCTAACACACTTTCTCCAATGATTTTTTTTCAGTGATGTACCTAATTTCATTAATTTAGATTTTTTTATTGAGATAGCCGCAGAAGGTCTAGATAGTGTTCTTAAAATCCATTGAAAGTTGGAATATCAGTTGTGACTTTCTGATGTTCTGTAAATTATTGTTTCTAACAACTACTGTTCTCCAATAAGGACAGTTAAAGAAAGATAGTGGTGCTTTTTAACCCATGTTGTAAATATATCATAAATGTCCATTCAAATAATGTCTTACAACTGCAGGGCTTCATTATGGGATCCGGTTGTAAAAAAAGAAGTTAAGAGTCATTTTCAAAGTGGACCTACATTTGAGAATTTTACCTTTTCTCCCTCCCTGCACTTGAATCTTATGATGACTTCAGCCTCCTCATGGAGGTAGATGCTCAAGCTGTCCTAGACTCAGTCTCTATAAATAGCTAACTCTGTCTTCCAAAGGGAGGAAAACCCTGAAGTAATTTAAGAACCCAACCACTTTCCAGCACAAGCACAATTATGAAAGGAAAAGTAGCTTGGGGAAAGAAAACTGATTAATACACCGGTTCATGGAGTAAAATCATAATTGCTAGATAAGAAACAACCAGGTTTTCATTGTTCTGTTTTATCCACTAATTTATGATTACTTCAGCCTGTATAAGAGAGAATAACAAATTAAATGAAGAAATGGTGCCTAATGAGTAAAGGAATGTGAGTTACAATACCTCAGAACTCTGCTTTGTCCTGCCATCCCTTACTGAATAACCTTCAGAGAATTGTTCAGTTTGTATTGCTTTACAGAGTTGATGGTATCCCTCAGACTTTGTAAAGAGAATATTCTGTTATAAAACACTATACACAAAAATATTTTGTTTATTATATAATTATAATGTCACTTCTTGCTTATTAATCCTTATGATAGTAATAAAACATTGTTTTCATGTAAAGAAACTCTAAATGGTGCTGTTAATGAGACAGATATGGAGACTTACTCAGAGAAAAAAAATTAAGATGAGATAATAATTGTGTTCTGAGCCAGGTAAGTCCCCCAAAAGAGTTTAATAAGCTGGGTTATGGTTCATATTATGTTGACAAAGAACTCTATTCAGGTTATTTTTTGCACTGAAATAACTGATGATGGGATGCAAGTAAGAAATAATTGTGCTGAATTATTGCATAAGGAGGTTATAACTGGAAGACAAGTCTTTAAATATTGGGATAAAACAAGCTGAGATGGCTATATTTTCTTTGATTAAAGTGTAAAGAACACTGATTAATGAATCACAGTGCATGGCTCTGCAGAGTGGTTCAATGTCCTGAAAGCACCATACAGTTTTGTCTGTAATTGGGTAGGTTTACTACTATCAGTTTGGCTGCTTCTAACTCCTTTTAGTGCATTAAAATTATGTTATTCCTTGGACAAAAACCTGGAGGCATTTTTAGTTCTGAAATACACAGTATTTTGTTGACGTTACAAGTGTTACACAAATGTTGACAAATTAAAGGTCTATTATAGCTCTATGCACTTTTTTCACAAGCAGATTGAGCTTTCCCTTGATCAGGAGGTGGTATTTTTAGGGATTCCCAGCACTGTGATGCTACAGCTCATCCTGGGAGGAGGGTGGCCCCAGCCAGAGCCAGCCTGGCCTTGCGGGCAGAGCCGGCGGCTCTGACACAGCTCAGAGGAGCAGATGCTGCTCAGACTTACCCAGTCAGGGCTGCAGTGGCTCAGCCCTGAAGCTGGAGGTTGTAAAAAACATTCCTTGCTTCTTAACAGATTGCAAGAACATACTATGCAAACCTGATCTGTGAGTGAATGAGATCCTTGTTCTAGGTTTAATACAGATTCAAATAATACTGCCTTGTTTGTGTGTGTGTGTGTGTGTGTGTATGTGTGTTTGTGTGTGTGCTGTTCCTTCAGTTCTCGGCGATCTGACAAATTCCCGGAATTGTCCAGAAACAATATCTTCAACAATCTTCTAATTCTCTTTCAACTTTGCTTGGAAGTTGCTCTTTTCGCTGTTAGCTGTTTTAACCTTCATCTTCCATTTCAAATGTCACTTCTTGTGATGATTTTCAATGCCTAAAATTTCCATATTTTCTCTTTCTACTAGAAATCAATTGCCATCTTTTAGAATGACAATGCCTTCATGGCCTGTGTATGTTCCTTCTTGATCCACTTTTCCTCTGCAGTGTGAGATCATTTCTTGTGGCAGTCTCCATCCTTCCAAAGACCTTTTCTTTTGAGACCACTTTGAGATTTCCTTCTGTAATCTCAACTACTGTCACATGCCCAATAAAAAAACTCTGTTGAGGGGATTCCACTTGACCAGAGCCCAGGAACAGCAGATATCTTCTTAGTTTATTATCTCTGCCATCAATAGACAAACAATATTTAGACCCTGGAATAAGAATCAGATTGTCCAAGCTCTTACTGGTTTACTAGGGTACAACAAATTCATATTTTCCTTGCATTGAACTGGCAAGCATCAGGCTGAACTCTGTTCTCTTTTTCACTGATAACCTAAGCAAGGAGAAAACCTTTAGATCAAAACTGAAAACTGACCCCATTCATTGTCTTCTTCTTTCAAGTTAAGTCCGAAACCTTTTAAATAATTGGGCTCTGAAACATAAATTTAGATAAGGACATTTATGTTTCAAGTATGTATTCCCTTCTTTTGTCTTCCCTCTTTTTATTATATTACTTTCTATTTTCCCTTGTAGTAAGTCTTGCTGTTGTACATTTAAAGTGACTTTAAACAGAGCATACTCAATTACTGCATAAAATTTTACAACTTACACATTCCCATTTATATCCAAAATTTATTTCCTTCAGGCTGGATGTACTGAACCTCTTGACACGTTTTACAAGGAATATCAACTTTGGCATTAAGTATATCACCTGTGATAGGGTCAGAGATAAATATAAAGAAAACAGGAGAGTATGTCCTATGCACTCAAGAATCTTAAAGGAAGCATTAATAGATTCCATGTGAGGAAGAGGAAATTTGGAAGAAAAGAATGTCCTCTGTGATAAATTATGCCTACTTTTTGCATGGCATTCTATGTCTTCTAAGCCAGGAACGTCATTCCCAAGAGAGCAATGTCAAAACAGCCGAAATCCAAAGATCCAAAACACAATAAAAATTGCGTGCAAAGACAGAGTTTATTAGGGCTTTATATTCCACTATTAGTAAAGGAAGAAGCTAGGTTTCTAGTATTGGTTTCTAATGGCACACTTCTCACTCTCTACTGTTCTCATGTTATACCAGATGACTGAGATTTTCGTTGAGTTGCCCATTAAAAATTCTATTGGCGCTGTAGCCTGGAGTCGGAAAAAAAGGAGCTCTTTTGAAGATTGAGTAAGAATTTCATACTAAATGACATATAATATCTTTAGAGGCCTTATTTTATCATATAATGATATTCCATCCAACATCAATCCAGAGTCACCTATAATGTATTTCAAAGAATGAAACTGAAATGACATTGCAGAGGGGAACTATAATTCCCTCTCATAGGAAGGGAACTCATGTCTGGTCTGTAGTAGCTGCCTCCTGGTATTTTTTATAGACAGGATTGAAAATAGGGTATGGGCTACATGGAAAAAAACAGAAAGATTTGATTTAAAGTCTAAAAAGTGATTATTCATAGCATGTACTTGTCTTCTCAGACAGGACAGAACACAACATGACCTTGGGTAGCCTGTGTTGATTCTACCCATTTCTAGTTCTTTAATTCACTCATCTGGAATTAAAATTTACAAACCAGACATTGATGGATTCTTGCAAATTAGAGAGGTTGTGTATATCTGTGTAGAATCAAATATGAATGTAATTCTTCTAAATTTGGACTGGAGGACTGAACAGAAATGTTTTAACTTTATATTTTTTGATTGACTTCATTATGTGGACTCAGCAAGATTAACCATGTGTGGAAGGCTTTGTGGGATTGTATTTGCTTACAGTGTGTTTGCAAAACATATTTTGAATCTCATCCTCATATATCTTCCACAAGTAAAAACACTTCTACTATTCTTATAGTTATGCATTTGTAAAATTCCTATCTAATGGATAATTCCCAAAAAAATGGTCCTTTTGTGTCCCCTCATTTTGCTATGTCTCTGTCATGGGTTAAACCACTCAGGAGTTTACCAGTGCAGTGGGAACACCTACTAGCTAAACAGTTTAACTGCGAGCCTTTCTACTGCTCAGTTCAACAAACACGCTGCTTTTAAATGGCCTTCAGACAGCACTGTAACAGTGGTGGGTTTTTCCAGTTTGTTCTCTTGGGACATATAGTGGAGAGCTATTCATCAGTTATTAGGATTTCACCCTGTTTCTGCCTGCTGTGAAAGCCAGGGGAACTGAGAGCAATGCATCTTAAGGCTTCCCTTTTGAAAAAAACATTCAATGCAATTACCAGAGACATGCGTCTGCAGAGAAGTAAATAATGAACCTGCCATGACATCAATCTCAATTTCAACTCCCAGATTTGTCAGTTTTCAATGTTAATATCTTGGGGTTTGTTTATAGTGCACATCAGGATATTGCAGTCAGCCAATGTTATTTAAAACACATGTAATTACAAGCTATAAAATTCATAATTTTTTCCTCTTTTAAAAATCTATTCGTTGAGTATGAAACTTCTCTTAAACTGTTCTGTCCTTTTTTACAATATTGAATGTACATGCAGAAGACACAAATGTTGAAGCCAGTAATAAACCATTTATTTACAGTGAAATTCTGAAATATAAACTATTTTTGAACTTTAACAATAACTTAGATAACTTAGGCATATATAAGTGCGATTCACGCTTCAAGTCTGCTCACCTCACACAGAGTGATGAACTGTCACTATTTCATTCATTCTAAATGCAGTATCCATAAGGGTTTAGAGAGCAGACATCACCATAAATCAATGTTATTGGACTATATTTTCAAACAAAACATTTTACAGACAGAGACATCCCACATTCCATACTGATCATGAAACACTTGCATGAAGGTCAGCTAAAGTCAGCAACAACTTATGGATTCATTTTCTGGAGGAATAAAATGTGCCCATGTATTTTTTTAGTGCATTAAAAGTACCTTAGATCTATGGAAAGTTTCTATGTAGAATTTCTCATAAGAGAAGACCTGTAAAAGAAAGAGTATTAAGGAAATGTGTAAGCACTTCAGGTTGTCTCTTCTGATGAAGCTCAGAGGGGTCTCAGTCACTATGCAGGATTACATCACTGCTTTGAAAAGCACATAGATATAGCAGTAAAATTTACTTCCCTGTGAACTTTGGTTTATTTAAAAAACTTTTAAAATGTTCTGCTTAGAGACCTAATGAAAATCCAATTACCTTAGATATGTGGCATCCTACTTGTTAGTAAAGGGTTGTAACTTTTGCTCTGTGTGGCCTAATGTAGGAATTTGCCTGACAAAAATAGAAGTGATTTTATGTTTTTATGTTTATGATTAAAAATCCTTTTTAATATATATAATCAGATGCACCTAAGGACATCCTAGAGTAGTAAGTGTGCATATTTCTATGGCTTGAACTTAAAGACCTACGCTTATGGGGAGTGAATATATTGATCCTGTCATTTTAGTCTGCAGATTATACAATGAACAGAATTTGTAGAACTTTGGGCTTGTATGAGAGAAGCAAGGGAAACCAAGCTCATGTCTTTGAAAAGGGCAAAGATTCACTTGAGTAAAAACTTCATGTTTTACAGAGCCATTAATACAGGAAATTCAAAAAATTCACTGACCACCTTTTTTTCTGAGTTATACCTCGAAAGACAGTTTATGAAATGATCCTCTTTATATGCACTGAAAGCTTTTTAAAGGAACAAACTAGGATAGCACTAAATGACACTGCTAAGGATCAGACCTTGGCAAATCTGTAAATATGCTGTTTTAACAATTTTACTATGTACTTAATGCATTTTTTAATCTATACTCACAGTCTGGAAACATTGCAGAACACAGAGTCTGCTTTGCTTCTACTAAAGAACTTTGATCCATCTTTACAGAGTTGACTGCAGATATTTATGCCAGAACAGCTCTTAGGAGCAGCCTTGGGTTATAAAAGCTGTTTCATTGGGAGAATCCTCAGCTGTCTACTTAATTTGGTCTTCCCAGAGCAGAGGTCAAGATCTGTCCTTCATCGTTAGGCAAAAGAGAGAGGTCTACTTGTGTGTAACAATTAATTGTAAAACTTCTTGAAAAGCTCTCAGGCCAAACAGCCATCTCTGAGCCACAAAACATGAAAAGCCTAATAACATCTTCTCTCCTTGCATTTTTAACTGAGTATTACTTGCTAGGTTATCTTTTGACATTAAAAAATACTGCATAATAATAAGAAGAATAAAAAATAATTAATGCAGGATGAAAAAATCTTCTGTATAATGAAATGCACAAACTGTAATTTAATGAAAGTTCTCACTAAAGTAATGCATTATTTCTGCAAAGAATATTCCAGTACACTGGAGGTACAGAAATTTATCATATACTGGAATTTATATGTTACATAGTGATGAAATCCATCTGTTAGGTGCTCACTTATACCACATAAAGTAATGAAAGCAGCCATCATCAATCACACATTACTCTAATCCTACCTCCATATTCTACTACTCCTGGGTCATTGAAGAAAGGCAATGGTAATGATCAGACCTGTAATTATGGAGCAAAAAAAAAAAAAAAATACTGCATTCCAGTGAGGATAATGATGTTTACTTTTCATCTCAAGATACATTTGGTGCAATCAAAATGCTAATAATGGAGTGCCAGCTACAGAATTTCTACTGTGGACAACATTGCTACACCAAGGTATCGCAATTATTCTAAAAAATACCAGTCAACATAATTTTGTGAAGTGCTGCTTTTAAAGGAAGTTAGAGACAGGCATCTAAGAACATATTATTTGTGACACTTATGCTATTCCTCACACTTATGCCAGCTATAGAAGCTATACAAAAAAAAAAAAAAAAGAGCTACACAGAGAAAAAACTCATATATTTTCTGTGAATTTAACTTATCATTTTGCATGTTTAAGCAAATGTCTTATATCATTGAACATATCCTAGCAATTTATGTCAATTACCTTTATTTTGGTGGACAAATTCAAGAAAAAGGAGGCAATTTTAGAACAACTTCAAACAAACAAACAAACAAAAAACCCTCTGATGGATCAACAATTTAAACCCAAGTGTTGAAGAAAAAAAAAATCTGGAGTAAACTTTAAAAACAAATTTGGAGAATGCAGTGAAGAGGAGGGGAGAAAACCCATTTTTCAATTTAATTTAAATTTACTTTTTTCTGAATATATTAGCTTTAGTTGTAATGTCTTTTATTTTTTTCTTTTAAAATTTGGTCTAGTTAATAACAAAGGTTTTGATTTTAATGAAATCCAGTGAGGTTTTAGGTCTTATTTAATAGATCTATTTGAACTTTATGTTTCAGGAGGGGGTAAAAAGTACTAGTTGAATGAAAAACAATGCCCCTTCTGAAAGTCAATTTATTAATCAGCAAAAGAATTCCCCCAGCAGTTGTCCCCATTGAGAGATACTTGTATCACGCCTTAGTTAGTGCTCTGAAATCAGCTGGTTCTCATGAAGTCTGTGCAAAGCAGTGATAACGAACACACCCTGGAAATGCCTGCAGGGATAATTGCATTGGCCTGGGCTCAGAGCAGTGCTCTGGACACCGGGGCAGCAGAGTGGTCAGAAAACAGCCTGGGAAGGGAAATGCAGGCGGGCCAGGCAGAGCACAAATGGAATTATGGAGTACACATTAATCAAGAAACCAACGGGTCTTATCCAACAGAAACTGCAGGGCCAAAGTGTTGAATGGCTCTTCACACGTGTGCAGGTTGGCAGAGCAGAAGAGGTGACCCTCACCAGAATTTGGGGTTTTGCAGCCACAGTCAGGGAGACACATTCACCGTTTCCAAGTGACCTTGGTTGTTTGGACTTTCTGCGCTACCTAGGCTGGCTTCAACAAGCATCTCATTCATGTTCTCTGAAACTCTGCTTCCACCAACAAAAATGAAAGTTAAAAAAAAAATTTTGAAACAAATAAGGCACAGTTTTCAAAATGGGAAGGCAGAGAGGGGAAAGAATTAAAAATTCTTGGCACAGAGAAAGGAGACAGTGCTGAAGTCTGGGGACAATTATTTAAAGCCCTTGTAGCTGGGATTTGGCTGAGAACAGCCCACAAGTATATGTTTTTATTTCCTTTAAAGAAACTGAGATTGAGATCTCAGTGATGTGTGACAGGATGCACGCCAAGCAGAGAATTTCACTGAAGTCATGTCAGATGTGCAGGATGTCTGCAGGGCATTCCTCGAGACCAGACCCATGGTCTATACAGCAACAGAGCCACCAGGGAGATCTCTGCCCCACAGGGCACTGTGGAGACTCAGCAAATGCGTCAGCAGGTAGGAAAAAGTCCAAAATAGGCTGGACTCTGCTGCAGGGTTTTCTGACAGACACCACAGGTCTGGAAATAGGGCTGGAAGTCATCTGAAAAAAGGCAGCTTGGTGAGATTCCCCTACTTCCTCTCTGATTCAAGTGGGAAACAGCCCTTAAGCTGATTATTTGTGCTTTAAGTCCTTATCTAGGCCAGGAGCCAAAAATGCAGAAGGCCTGGACATCAGTTACCCGAAAGTGTTGTAACCTTGAGAGAGGTTCAGCCCAAGTTCAGTTCTAAAAATACGGGAATGATCAGTGGGGGTTTATTATTCTATACAAGCAGCCTTTCCCATCATATGGACAGAGTCTTCCCTCTTGCATTAGCTTTACATGCATGTAACTCCACTCATTGGAAGGTAATTACTCATGCTTAATATGAGAGTAAATGTGAACACAGTCAGGCTTTTAGCCTCAGCATTATGTGGATTTATTGGCAGAATGCCCAAATCCCGCAGACCCTTTCCAGCCCGAGCCCCCACCCACCACTGTCAGTAGCTCTGCCTAACACAGGATCATGTGCTGTGGTGGTATCAAGGCTGACAATGTTGTGAAAAGTTTCATCTCACCTTTTCTGAAGTTTGCAGCTTTAGTACAAACTCCTGTAGCGATACATCCTGCAAAATTCTGCCTTTTCTCAGAACTGTTCTGTCAGCCATGCTGGGGAATGTCTGGTTTTATTTTGTTGGTTTAGAGTGAAAAAGCAGGAGGTAGATTAAAAAGATAAACTAAAATGCTGCTTTAAATCTTCAGGTTGTAGAGATTTTTGTGTTCTTGTAATTTCTACAGTGTTGGAGTTTTTATTGCAAAGGTATCACTTAGAGTAGCCAAATCTCTGTTATCCTCTGAAGAGGACAATACTCACTAGATTGAGTAGGTGAAGGTGCATAATTCTAAAACAAAAATACCTACTTCAACGATTAATTTGTCTTTGGAAGACATACAATTTTAACTCAGATTTGTGTTTTCTATGATATTGCAGTAAAAATTTCAAAGTATATGGAAACCCTGAAACATGTTGAGCATAGCCAGCTATTGCAATAGTATATTATACTGAAGAAAAGATCTGAAAATTGTACTTGCTTTGTCAGTCAATTCCAGGTAATTAATTTCTATGTCCAAACGAGATGCACAGATGTGCTGACATAATGTTCACTGTTTCCAAACCTGTGCAGATATTGCTCTTCTTATTACTTGTACATGCTTAGTGTTTGCTCCCAGAAAAGACTAAGACCTCCATGTTGCTTTGGTATAAATTCAAGGTAAAGTCAAATCATGGTGAAGAATTGTTGTGGAAGCAATCGGGTTTGAGGGCTCACAATTTGCATCGTCAGCTTTCTTTACATCACTTTGCAAAACTGAACTGGTTTCAAAACTGTTAGGTGCATTCTTGATGTGTGTTCATACTAGAAACCACTTGCATACTTTCATAAAAGTGTGAATGTTTTGTGTTAAAATTGGTTTTTTTCTCTGGTCTAAACTCCGTGCAGATGCCAAGAGTTTAGGTTTGGTGAAATTGAAATCTGATCATGTCAGTCTAATGAACCGACTAGGCATCAGCTTTGACAGCTGCCTGGCATTGTACAAGACAGAAATAAAAGACTTAGGGCAAAACTGTGACCCCAGACAAGTCAATGGCAAAACTCCTCTCGCCTTTAATGGGTCCAGGATTTCATCTGTGTCTCCCTGCCTCATCTTTCATTCTCAGAGACAAACAGCAAACAGAGTATAGAAAGCACTACAGACACTAGACTTTCTCCAGTATATAATGAGGCATAAACTGACTGAAGTCAGAACTTTTGGATCTCAGCAAAGAAGTGTCTGTTTTCAAAGAGGCGGAATGAAGAAAATATAAACACATAACTGGCTGGAAGGAAAAGCCACTCCTGTACATACCAGGGGAAAGTGAGAGATTGCTTGGGTATTCTTTTCATTTTGTTTTCCTCCAGCTTCCTGAAGTCACTTGACAGCCTGATAGAACTGACTCATCACCATTTGTAGGCAAAACACAAAATAATATCATGACTGAAAAACACTGTCTTTAATGAAACTCCCATATGCAGAATTCAGACAGTGACATAAAGGAATTTAATGCAGCTCTCTTCTACCCCTGATGATGATCACTTCATTCCAGGGTAACTATTTTTAATTACAGGGACTTCAGAGGGCAAAGGTAAGTTACTAACTGGCTTTGTTTTATGGTACATATCTATCACAGTGTTACAAAATATTTCCTCCTGGCCCATTACTCTGTTGAGGGCTTTGGTGCTAAATAACAACGTGAGCTGCAGATCTGCTTTCACCTCCAGCTCTCTGAAGTGCCTCCTGAGCCAGCACCAAGTCCTAGCACAGCGCAATCTGCCTGCTAATGAGCTCAAGGTGTTTCAGGGCGTTCTTAACCTGGAGTTGTCTTTGTCCTCACAACTTCCCACTGCCCCTCCAGCCATCTCTTGTGTGTGTGGGGCCATTTTCTGGGCAGCAGCACAGCTGGCAGGAGCAAGGGTGGGATCCAGCCGGGAGCTGTGGGTGCTGCCTGCCCCAGGCTGGTCCCGGCCTGCACCTTCCTGAGGCCACACACAGGATGGCAGAGCGTGGTGGGGCAGCAGCGGAGGACACTGCCAAGAGGGAGATCAATGTGCCTCTCCTGCTAATGAAGCCTTTGCTCATTGCTGGCTTTTATATAGAGACTGAAAACCTTTATTCATATTTCCTGAGTTAAAGCTCCCTGACTGACTGAGGAAGGACTCACTCCAGCCTTCAGGAGCTGGCTCTGTAGTAACAGCCTGATAAGTATTCAGCTCTGTTTACGCATCAGATTTTTAAATCAATTTGAATGAAAGAAAATAGATGGGGTACTACCTTTTGCCTCCTGGTCCCCACTGAAAAGGGACCTTCCATGGCAGGGTTTCCCCACTCCTGTGGGATGGGAAAGGATGAAGGGATGTGGGGTGGCCTGAAGAGGCAAGAACACAGTACCCCTGCCCCAGCCTTCTCCTGAAGGGGCATCACAGAGAAAACATCTGGTGTGCATGCAGTGGCTGGGCTCAGCCAAACCCTGCAGATGTGAGGTGCAGAGAGGTAGCTGGCCAAATATTGCCAAAGTCTTCCTTCTGCCTGCACACCCTGCCACCCCTCAGCCTCACAAAAATGCACACGTGCACACACAGAGATCTCCACAGAAACCCACCAGCTTTTGTCTCTCCATTCAAGCCTATCCCAGCCCCATTCAATTAAACAAATATGTCCTATCCTACTGAAAAACTTCTAGAAAATGGAGGTACAAGTAGTGGTACACTGAACTGGAAGGCTAAATCTTCCTTCCTTCCCCTGATGGAGGAGCTAATAAGAAATTACAGAAGAATCTAGACAAATGTCCCAGAAGATGAAATATGGAATTTCTTGGCACATTTTCCCTTGCTACTTTTTAGGAAATTCCCCATCAGCTCTAGGACAATAGGAGTTCAACCCCTGAGTAAAACAGAAAATGCAGGATGAGTCTTAACTTTGCCTAGGCTGAGTAACTTTGATTTCAAATTTCAATTCAGTCTTGACCAGAGTATCCAGAGTCAGAACACAGCCCTGAACACTGAGGCTGTGAAATGGAGAGGGCCATGACTTCAGCTGCTATTAAACTGAGATTAGCTGGTCTCTGCCCACTCTGAATCTGTTTCATTGTTGGCATAGAAATGGTTAATTCTGAATAAGAGTTTTTGTTCCCTTTTATCTGGCCCAGGAACTAAAAAAGGAGTGTTTTAAAAACAAACTGTAGAGTTAGTTAAGGCCAGAATTAGGAGGACAGTTTCTGTTAGTGCCTTTCTAAGACAGCAGTGTGACTTCTGAGGCACCTATGTTTGCAGACTTTTAAAATATTGCAACATACGGTCCTAGCAGAAGCACAAAAGACTTTTTTATTTAACTTATGTCATATCTCATCACATTATGAAGGTCTGTGCTGCATAATGTAATGAGATGCACATTTTAACACACAGAGCTTTTCTTGTGATATCAAACAGGAGAGAGTCTTAGGGAGCAAATTAGGTCATTCACTGCCAAACTAACTGGTCAGCAAACCGATGTAATGACTATTTTCAAGTTTGCTCTTAAATTTGCCACCTTCCTGCCTCCCATTAAATCAAGCAGAAAATAGAGCTGTGTCAAAAATTAGGTACTTCCAAAGAAATTGTTCCCCTTTTTGTTCAATTTTCTTTGGCATTCATCATAGGGAAAGGAAAGGAAAAAAAAAGTCCTTTTACCTAGGATATTTTCACCACTTTGAGCGTAAGTGAAAAGCAGCTTTTGTCAGCAAAGTGCTTTTTGCTGCCTGATGGGTAATGTAATGTGTGAGTCAGTGTGGAAGAAGAGTTGAAGGTCAAAGCTGTAAGAGTACTTGCAGTGTCACTTGGTGTCCTGATCTGAATGTTGTGCATGTCATTTCTGCAGCTCACTGTCAAATAAGGGAAATCATACCATGGCTGGAAGTTTGCAAAAGTATTGAGGACTAAGTCAAGAAAAATGACTCTTTCAAAATGTGCCAAAAACATGAAAAAGATTAATTACTTTATTCTGTTTCTCATAGGGTGTGCAGAGGTTTGCACATTTTCTTCTCTGAACACCAGCACCCATTTTCTCCATTTGTAAAAACTTGCCACAAATGTTGAAGGGTGAAATAATGATGAGTTTTGCCACTGACTTGGTGAGGCTGAGACTTATCCAGAAAGAGCTCAGAGAGAAAAGGAAGGCTTGAAAGACAGTAACAGAAAGTTTAAAGCACTTGAAAAGTCCTTGTGAGTTCCTTTAGCAGACACAGTCATTATGAAAGCATTTTCAGATGAGATTCTCCCTTGGAAAATATTGCTGAAAATACCCTGTTTGTTTTTCAGCAACATTAACCTTTTAAAAACCTTTTAAAAATCCCACTTATGCTCTAAAATGAAGTGTGCCTATGCACAGTGACTTTCCTCTTTTCAGCAGAAAGGCTCTGGGTTTTTTTAACAACAAAAAGGTAGAATGAAAGGTTCCTTTAAAGGACCTTAGCTTATTTATCCTGCACAACTGGACATTAGTAATTTTGCCCAATCTTTTTGCTGACTGGTTTTGTAGCTTGGCTTAAAAATATTGTTTTTGACATTTAAAGCCTTTAATTGACTAAGTCTCTAACAAAGTCCCTTACTGAGCTTCTGGCACTCAGGAAACCACTTCCTTCTTTTGGGTCAAAAGGGGCAAAGCTCTTGTATTTGAAGGTCTGCAGAAGTAGAAAGGGCAGTGTTAACATTTCTGCATGTTCAGCTAAAGATCACAGACCAGTCACCTAGCTGACTTTTCTCAGGATTGTGTATTTCTGTTTAAGAAGGAATTGCAATCCCTTTTATTTCTGGGGGCTCTGAAAGGACACTGTTTAACCTAGTATCTCAAAATCTTTTTGCAAGTTGTGATAAATTGCAATAATGTTTTTTTGGGGGTTTTGTTAGTTTTGGTTTTTTTTTTACTTTTCAGAATATGAAAACCTATAATCAAAGGAAAACTGCATACATTTACCTCGGCTCCTAGTGTGATTTCACTTGATTGATTCCACAACTCCTAAATGCTTTTCCTCAGAAATGGATCCAGCATCATTTTTCAGGCTTCCTGTCTTGTAGAGTTTTCCTCATCTGGGATCTGCCCTTGTAACTGTCTCAGCATGTGACTAAATCAACTGGATTTCTTGTGCAGAAGTTCTTCATGCTTCTGAACCCAAATAGACAAAATCAAAAAAGATTGATGGGGTCAGATTTACAGGTAATTGATGTAAATGATGCATTTTAGAGATTTATTTTCAAGTACCTTATTTAGCATAAATTTGGAGAAATTGTTAAACTCATCAATGCTTTGATTATGCCTTGATGTTTCAGTATATTTTGTCATTACCAGTTTATGATTTTGTGTTGTAATGAAGAGTAAGACCAATACTAGTAAGGCATAATTTTAAGTTACAATGATAGCAAGCAGTTTTGCAACTGAGATCAGGACTATAAATCATGTCTTCCCTCATAGTTCATAGCATCTTTCACAACTCACTGATGCCAGTGACCAAACATAATTTAAGAACCATGGCAAACAGTGAAGTTAGGTTTATGTGCATCCAATGAAAAATGTTTCATAAACTGAAGTTAAGCCAGGCTCTGTTTCAATAGGTTGCTTGAGCACCTTTTGTAGATACTCATTTGAGAGGCATTGTTTTTATAAATGTGTTTTCTGGCATCCCATCATTGTGTTATTTTGCTTTAATGTTACTGAATGAGACACAATCATGCATGAATTCTTTGAAAATCACTCTAGATTTTATAATTAAACCAATTACTAGTACCAATTACTATGCACCTTGGTCATATGGTAAAGATTTACTAATTCTGTGCAGTCTTGCCATGGTGAGCCTGTCTGAAATCCATACACACAAGTATAAACTGTGCAGTCTAAGTTAAGAAAACTGATTTCTATTAATGGGCTGAATGATTCATAATGGCTCCATCTATGTCAGACATACTCAAGCATGATAGTAGATCTATAGAACAAAACAGATGGTGCAGATGTCTACATTTGGGGAGGGGAGATATTTCATAGCAATTCTTGGCAGTTCCAGGGAACTGTATGCCTATTAGCAGCCAGAGTGCATTGGGTTTGCTCCTGGAACTTTGCTTCTGGTTTATTTTTCATTTGAAAGGCATCCAGCTCATAAGCTCCAAGACCACTCAGTGATATGACTCAAATCTCAGCAAATGGAAACAAAGTAGGCATTTATATGAAAAATTGTACTCCTGATAGAAATCAGAATTTAATGTAAATTCACCCATTTACCATATTTGAGAGATTGCGAATTTAATGAGAAATAAACATAAAACTAGTAAAATAGTAGTAAAACCATATGTCATGCTCAGTACATGTTAATATCTCTAGACTGTTTCTTCCTTCCTGCCTAATTTTTTTTTTAAATAAGCTGATTACAGATGATATCAAGTGGTTGTCTTTCAGTTTATTGTGTTGTTGGAGGAATGAAAGCCCTTGACTGCAGGTATGTGCAAAGAATACATGAGCAGATGAATTATTTATCAAGAACTTTATCAGGGTACCTCAGTTGCATAGGCTTGAACTGCGTAAAAAATTCCTAAGGACAAATAGTGGAGTACAGATGCAGCAGTGCTGCAGGAAAGCAGGTGAAGCTGTCTCCATCATTTTTGACAGTGAATCACGTTATCTCCCACCCAAGCTTGTCATCTGAGACTTATTGGTCCCTCTTCCCCTGCACAGGATGGATGTGCAAAACATTTTATAACAGCAGTAAGAGCCACATTTACCAAAGCTTGTAGAAGGTTTGGCACAGAGGTGTGTGAGCACGGGGCTGAAGCCACAGCTCTCTGTCCCAGATAACTCCTGCCTGCCTTGGAATGGCAGCACTGGCAGGGGCTGTGCCCACAGCAGCAGAACAGACTGGAGGGACCCTGAGTTTGGCAAGCACAGTCAGCACACCCAGTGCAGATGGTGGATGTGAGACATACCCTGCATTGGATGCCACCCAGCCACCAGCTGACATTAATTGTGGAAAGCCTCTGGCCTAAAAAGCTCCCAGCATGATTGGAATGGTGGCATCCTCAGCTCAGCGCAGGCAGCAGCCAAAGCAGCTGACTGAAAATGATTGCTGTGCTGCTCTCTGACCTCGGGAGCAGGGCAGCCAAAGAAAGGCAGTCTAGGGATGCTGCAGCTCAGGGTCTGAGCAAGAATAGGCAGGACCATGTGGAAATGCAGCTACTCTGCTGTCACAGAAATATTATTTGGGAAAAGTGAAGAAATGTGATACATCTTTTCTAGTTTGGTCATCCTGAGCTACTGTGCGTCTGTGCTCTCCAGTACTTGTCCCAGGCACCCTGAAAAAACTAAGATATCACAAAAGCTTACTAAAACTCTTTCTGCAAAAAGGGACTAGCTGCTTTCCTGGGAATCTTGTTTCAGTCACGTAACTGGTAATTTCTAAGGGTTATTCAATCTGTATTAAACAGCAAAGTAATATTTATTGAAGGATTAATGTAATTGTTTTGCACACAATGATGGTTCTATCCAATGTACTGTAACACATGCTTGAGAAACTATGTTCTTTATTTGCCCAAAATTCTGTGCACAGATTTATTTTTACAAATAGATACTTTCTCTATTTCCCTAAAACCAAATTCCTTCTTACCTGAGTCAACCCGTAGTTAGCTCTGATGGAAAAATCTTCAAACACTGTACATTGGTGTAGTGCAGCATGCAACCTGCCTTGTTGTTTTTTCACTCTTCTTTAAGCAGCTGTGACTCTGGTAACAATAATAAAAAGAATCCATTACTTTTCCACCCTAATAGTTCCTTCAGGTTTGATAGATTACAATGAATTAATCATACAGGATTTTGCTAACATATTTTATTATGTTGATTGAAAGGATTCACTTGAGATGACAGCTAACATGGCTCAATAGCCAAAAGCTTTTTAGCACAACTATAAGTCTATTCACTGTAGCTGCCATTCTTGAACAACTTAAAGGAAGTGGCTAAAGTGAATAATATATCACTGGTGATGTGTTTCACTGTATAACTATGTAATATGACAATTAAGCAAACACAGATTCAGAAAAAAAATCTTTAATTTGATACTTAACCTCCCCAAACCTATGTGCCAGATTAAAAATTAGTGTATGGTATTTAACTTATGGACATACTTTATTTAAATGCTTCATGTGAAGTAACCCTTTGTTCTCCTTGGCTAGAGCAGTACTCTTCAGCTTTTGGTCTGTGGCTGGAATATTAAATTCAGCTTTATGTACCATACTTCATAAAAATGGAGACCAATTATAGCTTGTCAGAGGATTATAACAAGAAGTTTCAGATGTTTATAGAACATGACCTTGGAGAACATAGTTAGCAAACTGGATTGCTCAACCTAAGAAGGAAAAGACTGAGTGTGACAAGATAACAGTCTCCAGATACATAGAAAACTGCTGCAAAGAGGCAGGGAACAAGCTGTTGTCCATGTTTGTGATGGATAGAAAAAGAAATAAGAGGTTTAAATTGCATGAAAGATGATTCAAGTTTTATATTAGGAAGAATTTTGGAACAGTGAGGATAGTGAAGGAAATGTTAGATTAGATTGCCTGGGGAGGAATGCCCATCACTAAAAGCCTGTAAGAAACTGTTAGACAAATATCTGCCAGAAGTGACATGGATAGAATTGATCCTGCTTTGACATAGAAAGATATCTGTGTTATGCTTTAAAAATTTCATGTGTTATTAGTCATTACAGCTGTATATACTCTGCAGTGTGTTTGCAGCATTTTAGAATGTACATTTCAATATGTTAAAAGCATGTTGAGTTCAAAATCTCATTCCTAAATGATTATGCAGCAGAATTAAGGCCAGCTGTTTAACCCTAATTTATGTCCCCAGTATGTTTGCACTATGATCCAGTCTTTAATTACCCTGTCACACATTGGTTTATTTCTGCAGGCCTCTCTTTCATCAGCCTATTGGAAAAATGCTTAGAGAAAGCAAATTATTTTTACATATTGTCTACTGTTCAGTGGATATTTTCATATATTATTACTGCACACTGTCCAGACTTGCTCTGAAAACAATATTGCTGTATTTTTAGGAAGATTTATATGGCTGTCTTCAGTGCAGTGTTTGAGTAATACTTTAATTTACCCTCCCAGTATTGCTCTGACAGCTGTACAGTTGGGTGCTCAGTCTGACACTGATTTTTCAGTGTAATCACCATTAAGTAGCAGCACAGATGTTCAAAATAGAATTATAATACAATTTTTTCTTAAGGTTCAGAAATTTAATCTACCAGTTCCTAAGCTCTCAATGGTGATACCATTGATTGCTCTTGTGTATATGTACTCTTCCTAATGGTGAGCTACTGAAATCAGGTTATTAATAGCAAACTAACTCCAGCATGCAACATATATTTTTTTCCAATAAGCAGGATTCCTCAGCAAAGCTAAAACTTTTGAATTTACAAGATTAGCACAAAATTAATGTTTTCTAACAATAAAAGATGCACATTCTTTATGTGAATCATCATTTGTGTGAGGTTATCTGAGAGCTGAGAATGAGATTCATGTCTGGTTACTCAGGTTTCACCTGCACCTATTACAGCAGACTATGGGAATCCTAGGCTACAATCCTGACTTAGCAAGGAAGTGCATTCCAAAGGGTGTAGACAAGAGACAGCCTGCCATCCTTGTTCCAACTCCAACATCTCCTGCTGCTAGGATCTCTTATGACAGCAGTGAATCTTTTCAAAAAACAGGAATCAATAAAAGGGGCTGAGCTCCACTAGTGGCAGGAAGGAAGCAGGAGTGGCAGGGTGCAGACACTGATATTTCACTTATGGGACCTACTGGTCCTCTGCTATGTTTTCCTAAAGCCACCTAAAAAGCTTTTAAAAGATATATATTTTAAGTTTAGTTGTTTTAAGGAACACAGACATTTTATCTGCAGGCAGAATTGTAAGTCTCACTTGTGTTGTACAGTTTTTACAAAGCTGAGGATATGCTTCATTTTAACACAAGACAACTGCTATTGACTTGTTCATTCATTTCTCCTTAAATACATACCATATTACTTCTGTAGAGCTACTTATAAGAAAGGGACTTCAATTAACTTCAGTGGGTTCAGCTCTTGTACATCCGAAGTCAGGATCCTGAAAAATGTTATCCATGTTAAAAATTCACCTGAGTTGTTCAAAGGTCTTCTGTGATTGCCTGCATGCTCATTGCTTTTTCAGAGCATGTCCTTGTATGATTTTCCTTGCCTAGATTTGTTTTATTTATATAAGGCATTTACATTACCCTTTTTTTAACATACATTAGTTAATTTTATGTGTTCTAGACCTACACATGCAAGCTTGATTTTTATATTTAATGATCTTTCATGAAACAAATGTTTAAACCTTTAGCCTAATAGATACACTTGATTTTCAAAATGACGTATGTGCTGACTGCAATATAGGAAAAAAATATGTATGCAGTCAAATGCTGTGGGTTTGCAATACTAAAATTGCAACCAATTTCCTTGTATGTAATTTAAAGAAAATGTAGCAAATAAAAATGAATAATAGGCCAATTTCAGGGTGTTTTATAGTTGTAAACATATGACGTACAGGTAATCTGATGTGTCATTAATTCAGTATTTATGAATGTGAAAATCATGTTTTTGACTTTATGTGTATATATAGGATATATTTTTGTTTGCTCTGAGTCATATTTGTAGTACTTTTTCATGTCCAGACAGCAGGAGGTCTTCTACTTTTTCTGACCTGGGAAAATATAATTAGTTTGAAAATATGTTCCTCAAAAAGACCTCTATTTAGGATTAAACCTTCTTACTTGATGCAATCTTTCCTTGCTTAGAGTTTGGCTGTCCTCTCAGACTGTGGAGGAAATATTAACACAGGAGCTGAGGCAGTTTTCCAGCATTCCCAACAGATGAACATGACCTACCACTAGTTATGAAGTGTTCAAGAGGTCAAGGAATCTGTACCTTGAGACATAGATGGATGGTTTTCTTTGCCCCTTTCTACCATTTGATATGTTCTATATTTCTTCCTCTTCATATAGCACATACTGTAGACATTCCAAAGTAGTATGGTACAGCTTAGCTAGGTTATGATGAAATTCAGGAGAACAACTTTCAGATTAATGAGCTGACTTTTCTGCTGTTTATTCACAACCTCATTTTATAAGTTTGTTTTCTGTTTGAGCAGCTGTGAAGAGGAGAATCATTTTGATGGAAATATTTCTGAGCTCTCAGATGCTAGCAAGTAACCAATCATTTTCATATCAAGTGGGTAAAATCTGTAACCTGTTAGTTACCATAGGAATTTAGTAGTACTGTTTATGGGTAAAATGTTTATTGAGTTGACAACAGAGCTCACAAAAGAAAATTCTTAGCAACAAAACCATAAAAACAATATTCTGGAAGTGGCTTCTTTTCTGCTGCAGAACCACTTCATTAATTTAAGTGTATATTCATTAGAAATGACATAGGATAGAGAAAGAATAAGAGAAAATAAAAAGGATAAAATTATCAATACCATCATTTGGATACCAAATCTTTAAGTGGAAAGTGAAATGAAGGTGCTAGGCTACAAGCTCCTAAGAGAAGGATGTAAGCAATTAGAAACCAGTGAATAACACAGCATAAATGTAAGACAGAAAATGTGGGTCATGGGAATCATTAGGAAAAAATCTAGTAAGAAAAAGAGAGTTCTGCTGATTTCTTGTGTTTGTTATTCTAGTCATGTGCTGTTATCTCATAAAATGGTTGAGAAACCTTTCTGTTTTTAGAATGCAAGTGAATTGCGATGGAGATAGAAAACCAAAAACACGTGATATGCATTAACCATCATAAAACAAGCAGTCTTATTTTCATCAAAAAGTAACAAATCACAACTCCAAATACACATCATATGTACCTCATCCTTCCACTATTTTCTTATTTTTAGATATAGTCAGTGGTAAAAAGATGTGCAGATGTAATCCCAGACTTCATAGAAACATCTTTAATATTTGACTTGGAGTGTTCTTTGGTTGCAAGAACTGAATCAAAGTAAAACCCTTACAAGTATTTTACATTCCATTCTGAAAACTATATTGCACTCTTCTAAGTCTGGTCCCATGGAAATAATTAACAAAACTTTACAATTTCTCCAAAAACTTAAATGTTAAAATGTCATAAGGGTTTCTAAAAATCCCACTTTTTATTAATGAGAAAAATAGAATGGAATGTATGCTCTGTAAACCCATGCAGGTCAACGTGTATTATTAATAATCGGTGAGTAGTAGTTCCACATTTGGAACCAAGACCTATGAATAATCAGACACCACAATTAAAAATGGATGCAGCTATGTCAATGCAAGAAATATCATCTCTGATATCACAGCAGTAGAGGAGGCTTCATTCTAATAGCACCAAGCCACTTCCAATTTTGCTTATGGCCATGTGTCTGAAGAAATCTTCAAGGCAAGTAGAGTAAATAATTGCCATGCTGCAGATTCCAAGGTTGCCATTTTCTGGCTTGCCTTTTATTTTAGGGCCATATGGGTTCTGCTTTTGGCAGGACTTCCTGTAGTGATTTTCATTTCCCTATGCTTAATACTTTCTCCTTTCTGAAGTTTAATGTCATGTTATTGCACAGTCCCTCCTACGAGGATCTGAATATAATTGTGTTTTGGGCACTCTTATTTAGTGGCTCAGTTATGGTTCTTGAAATAACTCTCTGTTACTTAGGGCCATAACCTCTCCCCTTGTGGGCTCTAGAACAAGCTGTTCCAAGAAACAATTGCTTAAAATGTCAAAAAATTGCTTCCTAAACCTTGTCCCAGTATGACATATTACCAGTTTATACACCGACACTTGAAGTCCCCCATAAGTACTGTTTTATTAGAGTTAGTTGCCTCTATTTTCTTGGCATTGCACACACAGTGTGATTTTCCTTACATGCAACTGAGTAGCTGCAAGTGCAGGTGCTGTCTCTGCACAGAGAGCAGCACAAAATTATTCATCATTTAATTCTATACATGTCTTTTTTTTAAGGATGAAATGGAACACGAGCTGTGTCTAGCTTTTTTTACAGACATTCTGAACAAATGTGTACTTTAATTTCTATGGATATACAAACAAAATTATAAAACATACTTGTGTGTCAATGACTAATTTTAGGTGATTTTAATGCATTAATTATAGTTTAAGCCTTTCATTTTCCTGGGGCTAATCTACTCCGTTGAGCCTTGCCAAACTAAGGATAGAGACTAAATCTGATATTACAGATTTATAAATGCCAATATGATTTCTTTCCAAAGAAAACACACTTTTTTCCTTCAATTTTCTGCTCCTGCAACTTGAATAAAGAAGAACAGAGCTATTATTAGAGTTATTAAGATTGAAGTTTCACAGTCATAGGATTACAGTTCCCTTCCACCACATTAAAATTACTCTTTAGGTCCCAACTTAATTGTTTAGCTCATTGAAATGTCTCACTAGGTTAACTAGTCCTAGTACAAGCCAATGGCAGATTTGGGAAGACTACCAAGTTGTTAAATTGCCTCATGGCAAAACTTCTGGCTCCATAGGAGGCAGATTTCTACTGCGATCATCTGAGTGTAAAATTTGTGTTCCTTGGAGGAGCTGAACTGACTGGCTGTGACCAGAGCTGCTCCTCAGACTCACTTTCAATTGTCGCCTCAGCTATTTACATGACGGAGTAATTTCATAAATTGCTCAGCATTTTGGGTTTTTTTGTATGTTTTTATTTTTGTTTGTTTTCTCTTTACTTGTGACTTCATATCTTAATGCATCTTATCATTCAGTGCTGCTGCCCTCCAGTTTCCTTCAGCACATCCCTGGTTTGGCACTCCCTTCTCAGTGCCTGAAACCTGACCCAGTGTTATACTTCTATGTTATACTTAAATCCTCTCTTTAATAACAGCAGTGCTGATTTCGCTCAATCAATAGCACAGCTAGTTACTCTGACATTATCAAAATACTTGTTAAACAAGGGTCTTAAAGGATCTGTGGAAATTTATAACATAGGTTCTTTTAAAGCAAAACCCTCAAACCTTTTTTTTGTGCAAAAGTTCTGCCAAGAATGAGGACATAACTGCCCACAGGAAATACTCCCAGTCTCTACTGATGTTAACTGCTTGAATTAGAATAGTTAATTCTCAGAAAAACAGTAGAATGTATCTATTGTATATAGTGGATTGTATCTTTGAATATAAGAGGAAAAATTAGGGTTTTTTGTTTGAAGTAAAAATATATATTTAATGAATGAAAAAATAGCAGCTGTTGGTTTTTTTCAATAATTAAAAGCTATTTATTTCCCTTAGTACAATGAAAAAAAATCAAAGTTAGTCCTATATTTTATTACTAGAACTCAGAAATCCCATATTTTTCAAGTATAAACCAAGTGTTACATTAATAAGCACAGAAATTATCCAAGGAATCTAATGTCAATCTTTTCAGTACCTTATAATTCATCAAAAGGAAATACCCGGTTTCTTGAAATATGAAAAATTACTTGTGGTTTTCTCTTATACTCATTTTCCATATTCTGAGTTGCATACTTCATTTCTTATACATTTATGACATCCTCTCTGTAACCAGTTGTGTTTTCTCTGGCTAGCTCCTGCACTTAAGGATTATTTAGTTTGTATTTTACTCAGTGGGCCATGAATCCTAATTGTCACATGCCATGCAATTGAGTTTCTATTCATAAAACAAGATGTTTTCAATATATGTCAGTAATTAGCCTACATACTGTGATTTAAGAATTACATTTTAAAGTTCTTTGCTTTAGCTTAAAAAAAAAGTGTGTTCTACACTGTGCTGGGGTAATTGCACTGATAGGATCAAGCAACATTCTCGCCCTGCCACAGGAACACAGAAGAAGCCGTTCTGTCTGTGCCTGTGCCTGAGTACCAAAATGCAGGGGTGGCTTTCCAGGCAAGAGGCAGAGTTGGGATGTGGTGTTCTCCATAGATGATGATCCCACAAAAAGAATAAAGTGCCATGCATTTAACTTATGACTGATTCAATTGAGCTACTCTTTGTTGGAGCTCAGATTAATGAGTCCCAGTAGCCTGGTGTTATTCAGTGTAAGAATAAAGGAAATCAGGAACTCTCAAGAGTAGTGAACTAGGGGAAAACTCACGTTTACAAGCAACTTTTCTGAAGACCTGTACTATATGCACCATGTTCATATGAGATTTATTATGATGTAATCTGGCCATTTCAAGGCCACCGAGACTAAACCTGCTCCTTTGAGGGATTGTTTTTGTTCCAGAGAATGTCTTCATTAAACTGTAAATGCTGTACTATTTCTCTTGTTCTTTCTCTTCTTGCACTCAGTGCTAGTCAATAATCTCCTAGGGTTTAGAACGAATTTCTCTTTAACATTTGTACTTGGAAATGAAGACTCTTGAGAACTGTTGACCTACAAGGAACAGCAATCACCAGTCTCTGAAGATTTTCTTGGAGGTTCAGGGCTATATGCAAAGCAAACTATAAGAACCAGATATGCAACAGTTTCACTAACTTTTAAAATTATAATTAGAATATAAAAACCTCAGATAGGACTGAGTTCCTACAATTTCAATGCAAGAGCATATCTGGATCTCCTGGGAGGTGCTGACGTCTGTGAGCACTGTGAACTCAAGCTGCTGTGTCCTAAGAACAGGTAACAACATCTCTCAAAATTATTGACTCATAGGCCTACAGTTTTATAGCACTACCATGACAATGGAACAACATTTCAGGAGGAGTGAAAGTGAAATATTTAGCTTTTTAAGAAAAGTGAAATAATTACTTTGTGATATGCAGAAGTGTTTTACATCACTGCTGAAACGCTAGGAGATGTAAGAAAGTGGGAAACAAAGTGCAAGCACACCCCTCTCTTTGTGCTCCCAGTAAATCTGCCTCTAGAGTAAGTAATACTTTTCAATTGTATATCTATGAACACATATCAGTTTATCCTGGTTGAATATCCAATGTTAGATTGCAGTGTGCAACCAAAATCTATCTACCTCACTCTCACCCAAACACACAGACACAACACTAAACTTCTTCAGAAAAAAGGAGTTCTCAGGTAAACTCATTAATATTGTCAGGCATAAAACATGCAGAGAAGTCAAAATCAATAACCACTTTATCTAGCACATTCCTTCTATTGAAATAAAAAAAATAAGTAAAATTGAATGTGTTAATTTGTTTTAAATTTGTGCAGAATTTGTTGTCAAAGAAAAAGGAACAGAAGTTCCTCATGTTTTTTTTTTTTCCAGAAGTTTTCCATATTTTGGCAAGATAAATTGCAGAAAATGGCCTGAAAGAATACCTCAGAAAAGTTCCATAAATGTTTGTTATATTAATAATGATAATTATAATAGGTAAGTTTCTTTTGTTGTTTGGTAAGTGCTGACAGTATGCTCCCAGTGAACTGGTGTTGGCTGTGTTTACTCCTTTTGTGTCTACTTTTCCCAATTGTTGTGTTGGATTATTATTGTCATGGGAATGTTTGCTGAAATGTTCATTTTAAAGAGGATGTTGGAGGCAATTCTCAAATTGTCAATTCTTAACTCATAAATACTACAGCCATTCCAGAAGTTTGATTTACCTGTGAATTCTGCTTAGCCTCTTAAGAAAAAAAAAAAAAAAAAAAAGAAGTTTTATTCAGTCATAATTAACACAAGTAAAAAGAACAGATTTTGTTAGCAATAAACTGCTTGAATGTAATCTACCAAGAAAGATATTTTCTTAATACTCCTGTAGTGATTCCTATCAACTAATGGTCATATGAGATAAATACTGTAAGAGTTTCACTACTTGTGTATTGCGGTTCCTATTGGCACCCCTCTACAGGGCATATGAAACTGTTGTGATCTTAACTAAGAAGTTAATTTCATCAATTATTCAGCATTTGGAGTTATTTGGTTTTAGTAATTATTGTTTTTTAAATTTTGCTTAAGCTGCTCATAAACAGAAATCCTTACCAAGCAAGATTGTCATGGGCATTTCAAAGTTACAGACCTGGACAGGCAGACATAAGCATGGGGAGCAAGCTGTGGAAAATACATAGAATATTTCCTTTCTCACCCCAAAACCTGGGAGATAAAACCAACCAACTGAAGAGCTAAGCAAAAGAAAACTCAAAGAAAAGAAAAAAAGGAAAAAAGAAATGAAGATACATAAATTGTTTTGCATTTATAGATTGTGATTATTTTCTATAATGTTTATTGAAGTGTGCTTATTAAAAAAAAAAGAAGCAAAGCTTAAAAGACTAAATAAAATAACCTGCCCAAATATATGAGCAAGAACATTTATCAGAAAACAGATGGTCTCTTACACACAGAATTAAACATCTCTAAAAACATACCAATCCATTTATCTTGATGAATTCACCCTCTAGCAGATATCTCAAATAGCAGCAACAATTTACCTGCAGGTCTGGAAAATACATTTCCATGAGGATACAGGATGTAGAAATCAGTTCTGGATTTCAGTTTTTACATGTTGAGCAGGAATATTATGGTAAGTTTTCCCTTCTCTACCTTCAGTCAGAAAAAACTTCTCTCCTAGTTCTGAGGCTTAAGGGGCCAAATTTAATTCCAGACTACAATTTAAGCAACTGTAAAACTCTTTTAAGTACTACCTATTCACATTATCTTCCACTGAGTCATCTGGAAATACAACCTGGATCCTGCACATGGTTTCTGCTGCAAGAAATCTCTAAGAAATTGAATTATGAGGCTTTCCACTTCCTTTTTTCTCACTGAAGAAGTTTAATAATGAAGCTTTAGTATTGGTCAGTGAAAACAATTAAAATAAGTTATTTTGAGGACACTGAAAATTAATTGTTTACCATATGCATGAGCAGAAACTCCTGGGCTTCACCATTGAGAAAGGATTAGTCAGGACAGCCTTTTCAGATTTCTCAATGACAGAGATAACTCCTCTTGACCAGAAAATTTTGAAAAATGGCAGAGCATTACAGAAACTGACAATTTTAATGTATTCTTCAAAGGACTTCATTGCAGTACTGTAAAACTATAAACATTAGTGCCATGAAACACCTCTGACTTGTCTTTTGTGGCATTTACAACTGCTTTTACATTAGAATACTTCTAGAGACTTTCTGTAGGAACTTGTATTACCACTAGGCTTACCTGAGTGATTAACAATATTCTTGTAGCACTGAAAAGCTCTCTTAAATGGATACATATCAACCTATACATTCATATTCAATCCTGTGAAATTAGAAGGAAATGATCATGAAAATATTACTAGAAAATCTTGATGCAATAAGGAAAAATATTTCCTGAGATGTCACCACATTTGCTCCATATTGGATTTACAGCATTTCTAGCATACTGGATCCAGTGTTAATTTCTCAGGATCTCCTGGTCAATATATGCAGTTATTTCCATAGGAAGAGTCCACAGCACAAGAAAACAACACAGAGGAAAGGTCCCAACAAATCATCTTCCTAAGCACTTACACCAGCTAATGAATTAAGTTGGTGAAAACTCAGTCTCACATTTTAAAGATATGATAATTCAGGTTTCTCCCAGGATAATCTGCTTCTGTTGTCAGAATCAGTGGTGTTACTTCCCTGTCATCAGATTACTGATATGGCAAGACTCACTTTTCCCCAGGCACTCAGAAAATGGGAAAGATCTGCGAGAGCTAGAATGTAGGTGGGAACTCTGGGGATTTGTAATGCATTATTATAAATTGCTTTGCTATTTATGTAGATTTAAATAATAAAATATACCCATAAGCCGTCTTATCAGCCACATTAAATATGTTTTCAAAGAAAGGACTAAGCCAACCTGCATTTAAAATTCCTCACTACCTTTGCATCCCATCAGTGCTGTGGGATTTACACGTCCCTAGACACTCCTTGTAAACCCTGCATAACAGTGAGTGCAGAGGGACCCAAAGAGGCTGTTTTGGGCTAAGAGGAAGTCTGAAATGGTCTGTTATAAGGGCTTGAGGCATTGCTCTGGACAGGGCAAGACTTGTCAGCTGTCTGTGCTTTATTATGAGCAATTAATCTCCAGTGCCTTTTCTGACTATCACTGGACAGGGTGAGATGGGAGGAGAGGCAGCACAACAGGCAGAAGGCCCCAGGATATTAATTATTTTTCAATATGCTAACACCTGAAATTCTAGTCTAAGACCAGTGAGCAAGTCATGCAAATCCTTTGAAAATATGGGTCTATGATAAGTTGGGTATGTGAGAGGAGCATATGGAGAAAGGAGAGGTGCTTTTGGTACGCACTGACTAATTCTTTAATTGCCTTTGATAAGGTATTGTATTTAAGCTAATGACTTAATTAAATGTGACTGTGAAATGAAGTGTTTTCTCAGAAACCCTGTATTTACATGTGTCATTCACATGTGTGAGACACTGTCCAGAGGGTGGATCTTCATTGCTAGCCCATGGCTGGGTAAAAGAGTATTTACACCACACTGCAACAGAAGAGTAAAAAAAAATGGTTTCTGATACAGTACACAATGACTGTGTGAATAAAGTCAATAATAAAGTCCAGAAAATTTCTACAGTCTTCTGCAGTTAAGTTGAAACATCATGTCAGAAAGACAAAAAAGAACAAAAAAAAAGGACCTTAAAGACAATGACAAAATGCCTGGGGATCTGTATTGAATCAGTTCAATAAAAAATGTCTTTATCTCATTTTTTTTTAAATGTGGCTAGGATAATATAAATACTGAATAACATTGTCTTTTTTCTTGTCAAAGCAAGTTATTTTCCGCAAAATTTTGATTTATGCTCCTCTTAACCACTCGTTCCTTTCTAAACTGTTCCCCACATTTACCTGAGATGTGCCCTGGCAGTTTATTTCACAGCATCTCTCAAGCAGAAAAGACATAGGAAAGAGACCTCTCTATCTCTCATGTGCAAAATTTTGCTTTGGAAAGAAGCCTTTAAGAAGTTTTTAAAAGGTCAATTAATCAATCAGGGAAAAGTAAAAATGTTATTTGACTCGGAAGCCTGGCCACACCACTCAGATAATGAATGATGAATACTGAGCCTTTGAGTGAATCCTTACAATCAACAGCCCATGACTAATCAATAGGCTGACATTTTCACACAGTTGCTGAAGGTGATCAAATTTCATAAATATCAGATTGTTGCTGGAAAAAAAAAAAACATGAACAGAAAATAAAATAAAAAAAAAAAAAAGGATGAAAATTTACCAGTGACCTGCTCACTGGTGGTGTGGGCCTGGGATGCTGCTCCTGTGTGCAGGGAGAAGATGCCGCCTGCAGCCCTGCCCTGCCCAGGTCCCAGTTAGGCTGATGAAGGCAGCTGGGACTGTGGAAGGAGGGCACTCCCAGCCCTGCCCTCCACTGCCCAGGGGGAGCTGAGTATTCCCCCGCACACACAAATACAAATGCGCCCCACATCACACAAGGGAGGACTTGATTGGTGTCTCAGAGGGGAGGTTATTCATGCCTAATCTGTCTGGAGAGGTCATTTCTGAGTCACTGCTGAGCAAAGTTACAAAGGACAGCAGGGTAAATAATTAAGAGAGCAGTTAACAGGGACCAGGATTGCCTGATGACCTGGGCTATGTAGAAAAACTGTAGTTTAAGGTCATGGAAAAGCTATTCAGCAAGAACAAAGGCTGAAAAACACAGTGTGTGCTGGAAAGCATATGCTTTAAAAAGAATTAACATGAAACTCTAAAGCAGTGCTGTGGCAAAAGCAGCCAGCATTGCCTGTGATTAAACAGGAGCAGGAAAACAGGAAGGTGGTTTTTATCCATGCAGCCAGCCTGACACAGGAAGGCAGGCAAGCTTAACTCCACGACAGGATGTTTAAAATCTGGAAAACATGAAGAACACAAAAGTCACTGAAATTATTCAAATCTTTGAGTAAATGCCAGGCCTGTTTAGTTTATCAAAAACAAGTTTGAAGGCTGATTTGATTGCAGCATACATGTATGAACTTTCCAGGGTGAAATAAGCTTTTTTGAGTGAGAATAGTAAAGATAGAACTAGTGGTGGAAATCTAATGCCACAACAATTCAGATTAGAAATTGCAGATATTTTATTCTTTAAAATCTTCTTTTTTTCTTTTGATTTGTTGGCAATTATCCACTGGAAATGGATAACAAAGGGAGGGATTTATCCTCCAGTTTCTGTTGTCTTCAAATAAGGATGTTTTTCAGAAGATTTAGCAACATGGAACTGCTTTTTTTAGAAGTCACAGTGTAGGGTACAAAATGTTAACTTGATAATCTTCTCTAGTTACTTCTGAGTTTGAGATGTGTTGGTGCAAATACTGAGTTTTAGCCCTGAGGTCCTTTGCCACATTCCTGGTTTTGTCATAATTTGAAAATCCGGGTAGCAATTAGTAAGTCAGACATATCTGTGTCCTTGATAGATGACTTTACTTTGAGAGCAGCTATATCCTGATGTGCTGTTACCTCTGCAGACTCCTGTGAACAATTCAGTTTGGTTCACCATCATGGCCAGGCTTTTGCCCGGAGGTGGTTTCACACAGAGCTCTCCCTTCACCTTCTCATTTAATACATGGCACCAGCTTCAATCTTAAAATCAGGTAGCGGTGTTGACATAAGTCTATCTGAGCTATACCACATGTCATTAAATTTGAGGTGTGAAAAAGCTTTTTCACTCTAAAAAAACAATTAAAATTTCAAAGGCAATCTCTGTACAGCCTCTGGAAATCACCAGCCAAAGAGGCTGGTGCAGCCTGTGCAAGCTGAAAAAAGGGAAAAGAATGTGAAGGGGTCTGGGTAACACCTTCTTTGTTTTGTTTTAATATGCTTTTTAACTCAGCCCAGAGATGATCACAATGAGCAAGACTTGAAGGTGTTTCTAGTAGTGGGGGAATCTGAACAAAAGGTTAGTGGCTCTAGGTGTGGAATGATGCTCTCCCAGGGGAAATGCCAATGAAATCAGGCCATAACAGACCCAGCATGCATTGTTTTCTTTGGTTTGGTTTGGGTGTTTTACAAACCAGAGCTGAAACCCTCTGAAAACATCCTCAGCCAATATAAAGAAAGAAAGAAATTACTGATTAATAACTACATAAGTTCTTTTATTTCCCTCCTGATTTGATTTGGGTACCTTGAAAGTGGTTAATTTGGTCTAAATTAAATTGATCTTGTTTTGATACATGACCAAAATATATTACTTAGAAATTAAATATTTTGAATAAATATTACTGCTGTTATTGTAGAGGAAAAAAATACTTTTAAAAAGTAAAGATTATTATTTGAGTTTTAGGCAAATAGAAATCTGTGCATTTTAATCCAAAACCATAATCTTTTCATTAGCATTTCTCTCACTTTCTAGGCAATCAAAAAGGATTACTTTTTTTTTTCTGGTGAAATATTTGTTGAGTATGTAGTAATATTTAACAATGTACTCTTTGCCCAAATTTTCAACAAGTACATTATTTGTGGGAAAAGCGTATATACAGAGAACAAAAATGTATTTTTGCAGTATACAGTCATACACTATCATAACTGTAGGAGAAAGCTGTGGTTTCAATTCCTACTTGCCATTTCTTTCACTGTAAAACTTGTCACTCCAGTGCAGTATCTCTAGTGCTTAACTTGTCTCCAAACACATTAATATCATTTTCTCTTGTGGCTTCCCTTCAGTCATTCATATCCTCCAGCTATGGGGTATGTGTTCTCAAAAATTCTAGGGCCTGGAATTTTGCTGTGCCTTACATGCGGAAAATAATCAAATATTAGTTTCACAAGGAATAATTTCCAAATTCAAAACTGTAACTGAAACACTGTGATTAAAAAATAAACAAAAAACCTCTGTTAGTAGCATCATTTCAATGATCAGTGTGGCAATCTCCTGGAAAGAGTTATATACTTTTATATTTTCAGGGCATCTTGTCTCATCTCATCTCATCTCATCTCATCTCATCTCATCTCATCTCATCTCATCTCAATCTCATCTCATCTCAATCTCATCATCATCTCAGTTTTATTGAAATATAATTATTGATTTAATATTTTAACTTTTCTTTTGCATTTTACTGTTGTATACTGTTGTCTTTTTAATCCCTGACTAGCTTTTAGAGACCAATTTCAGTACTAGCTTTTATTTGGAAAATGTGCATGAAGAGAAGTTAATTTCAGAAATGTTATCTGAAGCTCACCTTATAATATAATTCAGAGAAACACAATAAGGGTTAAGGATTAATTATTCTTAGAAATGAAAAAAAAGGTTTGGTCTTAAGTAGCTATTGTTAGATAAGAGAGGTAGCTCTTAGAAGGTCAAACAGAAGGTGCATACAAAAAAAAAAAAAATTCAAACCAAACCAAACCAAAACACAAACAAACAAACAAACAAACAAGCAAACAAAAAAAACCCCACAAAAATAAAACAAAAACCAAACCAGAGTCACCTAGAATTTACAAGAAGAATCATCTTCTAGAAATCCTTCATTACCTGGGGTATGTCTATGAAGTATTGACACACAGCATTAAATGAGTGGCTAGAACTGAGGGCTTCTACCAGTAAATAACTGCAACTCTCTGCATTCCCGAAAGCTGCTATTGGGAATACAGCACTTATTTCCCTTTCAACATTTCCTATTCTTTTCAGAATTTTTTTTGTTTTTGTTTTATATGCATGCAGGGAATTTCTCTCAAATCAGTAGCATCTCTGTATAAAATGAAAGAAGAAAAAATCCCAGAAGCTTCACCTTTGTCTGCTGGAAGGTCATACTCATTTTTTCCTTTGCAGCAGAAGAAAATGAAATCAACCTGGTAAATATCTATAGGCAGCCATCAGAAAGAAAAGTGGCTCCTCTGTTCTAAGAGGAAAGGGAAGTAAATTTAAGTCTGACAAAATTGTCACTAGCCAGAACCTGCCAGTCCTGCTTATTTTTAAATCAAACAGCCAGTGGTAATGAGGTGATGTGAGCCTCAGGAAATAAAATCAAACAGCAGAGGTTAGCTGTTAGGAAACATTCTCAGTTAGCCTGGTGGTCTATAAGGGTGCAGAAAAACAGACCTTTGTGTTTTCAAGACCTTGAAAAGTTTATCTCTTACCCTGAGTAAAACCCTTTGTCAGCTCCCACTGAAGTGGGTGGAAGGATTCATGCTGTTTACAGTGGGGAGCAGCCTGCCCATGGGAAGAGCAAATATCCTGGATGGGGTTTTCAGAAACAGCCTCTAGGGACGTACCTGTTATCACATTCAAATGGATGAGTGTCCCAAAATTTTGGGGGGATTTTTCTTCCAATCTTTGTACCGAATAAAAAATGGTTTTAGTGTCTGTAATTTTGTACCTTCCTATTTAGAAGCTGTGTTTTCTGGAAATATGGACACTCATAGACTTTTTCTATCTGTGGATATATATATACCGTAAATCTCATCAGAACTAGGTGATTTTCTCATATATAAGTGGCCTTTTGTCATAAATATTTATTGAATTTGTTAGTTAACAATGATATAAAATCTCTGTCGAGAAGAGGTTTCCAGTAAAAATTCTGCATAACTGTTATATTTATGACATTTTCAAAAGAAGTTGTAAAACTAATAATAACATTTAAAAAACAACTTGGAAGTGAAAAAATGTCCAGAGTCAGTCTGCTTCCCTGCTGTAAATGAAAATTATTTGACATTAAATCAGTATCTGCCCAAGCCTACTGCACAAACATGTTTTACAAACATTGCACACATTTATTAATCAATGGATATTTGCAGCCTCTTGCTCACCTGCTCCCTTTGTTCACTCTGAAGGGAATTCCCTGTGGGACCTGTCCCAGTGAGCAAAGGCTCACTTGGGCGTGTGTGCAGCAGAGAGGTTATGAGATCTATTTCCATAGCATGTTTGCTGTGATTGCTCTCCTGACTTGAACTGAATTGCACTAGACAGAGCAGCAAAAGCCTCCAAGGAGTTGTCTAGACACCTGAAGCAGTAACTGGAAGGCAAGGGCACAAGAGCTTTTATTTACTGAAACATACTCTTTAAAGACTTTTGAGAAAAGCAGTTTTAAAAACCCTAAGACGTAATTCCAGAAAGCAAGAGAGCTTGGAGGCTTAATACTGCTCCTGCCTGCACACAGTGTAACTCTAAATTAAATGGTGTTGTTATTGTGGAAAATAAAAAAAACGTTTAAGATCATAAGCAAGGAAAAGTCATATCAGAACAAGAGTTTTTTTTTTTTAAATTTCTAGGTTAATATTAAATTACACATTAATAATTTGAGAACTTCTTTCAAGATTTGAGATTGTTTAAATCCTTTGTTTATATTTTTCTAGTACAATTAATCAGTTTGTAGTTAAATAAAGTGTTGTCTCATAAGCATTGAAATGTAGCCTATCTTTTCCTGAAGTACAATCATCTGATATAAAAGAGAAAAGATCTTAAAAAACTTCAATAAAACCAGAGAAATTGCTTCAGATTCAGGACTTTTTACTCTTGGTGAAAGGTTCTTTTTGAAGCGATTTTGCTTTGGTATTTGTGCTTAAGAAAAAAATAGCTTCTTATCAAAAAAGGTTAAAATCTTAGTGTAAAAATCTCTGTATTAAAATCACAACCGTCACAAAATTAATTACAAAGAAGAGCTGAGCATTGTCTTCATACTGAGTGGTGAGTAAAGCAAAACAATAACTTTCTTTTTACTAAGCCAAAATCTCATCAAAAGGCTTTCAAGTGTTTAAATACATCCAGAAGAAAGCAGTAACACAGAGACAAACCAGGTTGAACTTCTTGCCTTCCACAGGATTTTTCTTCCTTGACAGCACCCCAAGACATAAAATACCAACCCTCAACCACTCATGCTGCCTCTAAAGCATGGTTTATGTTTGGCCATATAATCAAATACAGCAAATACAGCATAAATGCTACTCCAAGTAAGAATGGTTTCTTACCTTGGAAACTTTCATGCTGATCTTACACCAGATCCTTCAAAACGAGCAAACAGTTCAATAATTTTGTTAGTTTCTCATGTTTCTCACTGGAAGTTGGTGGGTTGTTATGATTTAAGTACTTCAGATTTAAACTTAGCTGCTGAAGTGTAATGGGATACTCAACCATGATTAGTATGTAATGATGAAAATGACATTTTTCAGTGAGTTAAAAAAAAAAAGACATATCAAGCAGGAGAAAGTGAAAAGGAACAGATAATACGAGACAAAATGAAGGCTGTGCCACCACAGTTTAGTACTCATACCCTGCCAAGATGTCAGTAGCTGGAAGGAGAAAGACTGGTCATATTTCAGAATGTGTGTGAGTAAGGTTGTTCAGGTGAATAAAGCTTGATTCAAAATCTTCCAGATGACAAAGATGATTTTTGCACCTCCTGGAAATAACTACAGCTTTGTGAGAAATAGTAAGGTGCTCAAGGAATAGTGAAACTCGTGGAATTGTTCCCAGTTTCAGTTATGCCATTAATAAAATGTCCAGATTTTTTTACTTGGTGAAATTAGCCATGTCTGACATTAATGTGGGCCAGCCTGAGACTTGCTATTACCTAAAAGAGAATAAATAATTTAGGCTGTGCAAAGTATGGTAGCACAGTAGAGAATTTCAGGAGATCCCTTAAATAGTAAAGTCATAATCAATGTGTGCAGCAAAGGTGGTTTCCACAACTGTGCAGCCTGACAATTTTTTTGAGGATTTCAAACCACATCCTGGCTTGACAATCTTAACAATTGCCAAGTAAAAAGTAAAAATGTTACTTTTATGCAGAAGAACATAGGAAGTTCAAAGTAAAACCAGAATAAAGGGACACACAGTAAGTAACACAGGTTAGAAATAATTTGTGTGTAGCCCATTGGACCTAATGAGGCAAGGATGATCAGATTCAAAGAAAAAAAATCCTATGCTTTTTTTTTTTTTTCTAATTGATGATGGGAACTTATAAAGGGATTACCATTACCTTGCAATGATCCCATTTACCAGAGTAAGAAACAACTGAACTGTTCAAACTTGCACACATATACAGACCAAAATTTGTATCGGCATCGGTCTCACTCATTTTCACACACAATCTGGGTATCAAATCTGTTATAATATGTCTGGAGGAAATTGAGTCCTTACAGAAGAAATTGAAAAGAGGCACCTAAATGAGGTGTTCAAGCCACTCAGAAAACAGTAAAGTCAGATGAAACAAAAGTTTGGGTAACAGAATACAAAGTTTAGGCATATAAGTAGCTGATGTTATTGCTTCCAGAAGATGAATCAGACAAAAACCACTCCCTTCCTTTGAAATCTGTGCTTGCAAACAGCCTTCCAGAGCTAGATATCCAAATCATGCTAACTGCTTAAGAGATTGACCCTATAACTCTCTTATTTTTTTCCTCTCACAACTCTCCATCATTTACCTCTGTGTTTTTCCACTCTCCTTCACCTATTTCACAGGTTTCACAAAATATCCTGAGTTGGAAGGGACCCTCAAGGATCATCAGGTTCAACTCCAATGGCTGTAGATGGTTCAAACTCACAACCTTGGTGTTATTGGCACAAGGCTGTAACCAGCTCAGCTAACTGCTGCTCCCCAGTTATGTCCTACCCTTACTTTGGGGGTAAATAATACATATGGGATGTGCTTTGTTCACAACCCTGGTTTGGAGGGTTTTAATCTAACAATCTCAACTCAGAAGATTTACATGGATTTTCACTTGAACTGGGGGCTAAAGCAGCTTGCTAGTGGGGAGAAACATCAATTCTTTAAAACTATTTGTCTAAATCTTGTGTTTTTATGGTTGGTATTATACAAAAGTTGCTTTGAATTTTTGTTTCATGATGGTGTTCAAGGCTCAATGGATTTTTTTAGTTTAAGGTCATGAGGAGAGGTCACCATCTGATATTTTCTTCTCTGTGCTAGTGAAAAATTTATCTTGTATTTGTATAGATCCTTATGCCCTTGATCTAGGGAACTTTTGTGCATAAGGAAGTATTTTATGTTTAACCCACCAAAATGCAAAACCAATTTATGTAATTCAGATTATTCCACCTCTCTGCTTTTAAAGTAATTTATTTTCTTTTACCAATTACACCTTAAAATTACTTAAAAGTTTACATTTTAATGATTTCCCTTATCTATGGTCTTTTCTGCAGCGTTCATCAGCTACTTAGAGCCTCATTTTTCCCCACAGCACACTTGTAAGTTGTGGTAGAGTACTTATTATTCTGATTTTTTTGTTATGAGCATAGTCTCAAGTGAGGGTAAGGAGGGAGCAGGTGACCTTCCCAAGGTCATATGAAGAGTTTTATATCCACCAGCAAGTAAAGCATCTGAAATTCCCACTTCGGTGCTTTATCAGAGCAATACCATTTCATTCCTCAGAAAGTTCTTTTGCAATTTATTAAAACTGCTATCTTGAAGAAGACAATTTGTTTAACTCATAGCTCACTTTTTCACTCCAGGCATTATTTATGTATACCATATAGTAACAATAAAGATAATAATAATGTATGCTGTGTAATGAACAAGAACACTAAGAAATCTGATGCCAAGGCAATGCAAGGGTTAAGGTAGTTCTTCAACAGCTCCACATAAAGAATCCAGTATTTTAATGGTCCCAACCAGGATTAGAAGTTAACACATCATTAAGATGAATTGGGGATACAGTTTGCACCTTTGCTGTTACTTCTATGCTGTGTGCCTTGCAGACTCCTTCTGCTGTTCCTGGAGGACAAGTTTAAAGAATGCAAGAGTGCAACATTAATTTATGCAGGAGAATCTTTGTCAAAGAAATTACTACTGACTGCATTTTTAATGAAGCTCTGGTTCTGCAGAAAGCCTGTGAAGACCAAAACACCAAGGGATTAATAATATTTTTGTACGCAATCCTTTTCACTGTTAGGTTTCGTGTCATAAGAGAAATATTGTTCACAATGCCTATTTCATCCATGTGCAGTTCTGTAATGTGCACTCAGTGAGACCTTCCTATGTAAGGAGGAAGCCCAGATGTTTCCCTCATGGTGTCATATTTGCATTCAGTATTAAAATGAGTAAAGATCTAAAGCCCACCTAGAAGCAGAATCACAGTTGTGTTTTCAATAATAAAACCCAGCGCAAGTGCGCTTAATTCTTTTTCCTTTATGTCCAGCATTAAAAAAACAAAAATTAAAAGCCATATTTTTTACAGATAAAGGATTTTTCTTGGATCTAACACATGTTTGTCCAAGGTGATTGGTAACAATTAAGTTGGCTGGTTAATCCAAATTAGGCTGATGCAGGAAGGCAGGGAAAGGTTTGATAATTTGCCAGTAAAAAATTATATAGTTGCAGGCACTCCTGGATGCCAACAAAATGTGTTTGCATGATATCTCACTGCCTCTGTTGTAGCTTGCTCCAAGCTGTATAGGTTTGAGATGAAGTAGGTACAGAGAACTCCAGGTGAGTCATGATTGTTCTAAGGGCATAAAAAGTTAAGAATAGTCTGTAACTGCTTTAGCACCCATATATACAAATCTGCACACATATATGTAGGCATATTCTGGCCCTTTCAATCACACTAGTTTGGTTTTACATATTGACATTACTGAAGTGAAATAACTCGTGGAAATAGGGAAAATATTTTCTGTATAAATATTTATACTTTCCCTGTTTTGACATCCTCCTAAAATTTTAATTGCCGTTTCAGTGGAGCTATAGATGCTCACTTTAAATGCAGAGGGCTTTTAACTATCAGTGCTCTCATATTTACTGAAACAGAACTGAGTCTGAAGTGATACATTATACCAGAAAGCCAGTATTTAGGAGCCTACAGCATCCTTTTTCATTCAAAAGACAAAATTCCCACAGATGCAATAAAGTCTGTAGCAGGCTCAGAGACCAATGGGATACAGTCTGCAGTGATTAATGCTAACTGCTAGACAAGGCTGTGGCAGGGATTAGCAATTTTAGAAATGAGATTGTGGAAAGGATTAGCAATTTTAGAGACCCAACTTTCAAAAAATGTCTGCTAAAAGATTGATTTTCAGAAGATGAAAAGTCTCATCTTCCTTTCATGGACCCCTTTAAATCATCTCTTCTTTTTTACCCCACAATGAACTGTCTTTAAATTACCAGCTACTTTTGGAAATCTAGTCCAGAATTTAGTAAGGCTTTTATCCATAAAATACATACTTTATTTTCTTTTCTGATTTCTAAGAAATACATTTCTTTTTCTCCCTTTTTGAATATGTCACACTTTGAAACACAAATTTCTCCACAGACAAAATGTATAGGCAATATTTTAACCCAGACATAATTCCCAAGGATATAAGAAAGACATTTTCATTGTAAAGGGCTTGGTGCCTACCATACACTTACGTGAAAGTTCAGGAAGCACTGTACCAGACCAGTCATTTTTCAAACCAGCTGCAGGGTTGATTTGTTTCTAAGTAATTTAAGTACACTTTTTTTCTTTAGGTGATATAGCTGAAACGTTTTGGGTTTTTATTTTTTTCAATGAGGAACCACAGAATATGTTGAGCTGGAAGGGACCCACACTTAGCCCTGTGTAGGACATACCAGGAGTCACACATTGTGCCTGAGAGTATTGTCCTGATTGGTTTAGCAGCTACATGAAAGTGATTGTTTCTAAATAATCCTAAATGTGTATTTAAGCAAAAAAGTTACATAATATTTTCATTCCACATCATTAGGAATTTTGGAACTGATTACTGCTGGTATGCAAATTTATTGAAACACGATTCAAAAAATTCCAGATATAAGGATATATCTGCTATAGGGAAGAGCTGTGCTTTATATCAGTTTGTACACACCATGTGTTTGCTATGAAACCTGTTTGAACAAATAAGTGATAAAAGAGTAAGTGAGTCAATGAAAAAAAGGTCCCCTAAGTACCAGGCTGTGAATTGGATGCTATTCCATCTCTCCATGGGTAAACTGTTTCCCGCTCTGCTGTAACAAAGATCACCCTTAAGTAAATACCGCCTCTTTTAAAAGAACAACTTTAAGAAAGGGCTAGATTTTCTGTATATCAAGGAAATATATTTTAAAGCTGCTTTTATTGTTCCACAGCAAAGCCAAAAGGAATTCAACTGTCCGGTATTTGCATACTTTTTTTTTTTATCTGGCAAAATACTGTATGAATGGAATAGGGAAAGCTAAACTGATTATGTCCAAGCTTGTGATTGTAAAATCTCTGCTCCCAAAGATATTTTAACTAGCTAGACTCCATTGATCTACAGCAAAGCTTTGTCAACTAAAGCTTTTTTCTTAAATTGATTCTCCATCTTGTCTTCTCATTCTTTCGACAGCACACAGCAGGAAGCTCTGTCTACATACAGAAAACAGAATCTTGCTGTAGGCATGGGTATAAAACAAAAAGACAGTGATTAAAGAAAAAAACAGACTGCTGTTAGTATTTGATCTTAAAATTATTGATCTTGTCGATCAGTTACAGACAGAGAGCGTCCATTTAAATCTGTAATAACTATTAATGCTACCACAAAACGCTGACCACTTGGAAAACAGGAGAAATCTATATGATAGTGCAATGTGATGTTTATTTGCCTGTATAGCTATTTGTAGTATGTGAGAGTGAGTACAACCTCTGACTTGACAAAGATCTTCTCTCTAAAATTTCTTTTAAAGTTATGATCATACAAGAATATGAAGTTTATAGAACAGACTCGCATATTAAAGACTTTTTGTGAACTAAAACCTTTTATTCTTTGATTGCCAAGAGCATTATTAGTTTTTTATCAGGCATATATTAATAACAACATTTTTTCTTTTAACTGACCCAAACTGAAGCACTGCATTAGGACACATTTCAAAACCCAGTGACCTAAACCAGCATCATGCTTTGTCCTTTATGTGAAATTGTGTTTATTCTGTCTCAGGAGTCTGATTTCCTGTTGTAGTTGTATCAATAGTGCCTCTAAACACATTTAAGTGTAAATATAATTGAATGTTAGTTTAAAAGAAAAAAAAGAAAAAGCCAAATCTTCTTTTCAAATTAAGGGCATTTAAGTTCCTGGTCACGTTAAAAGAAAAAACAATTTTACCACTTGGAACTGAACAAAATCCCAAAAATCTTGAGTCAATGTCCATGCAGGCTTCAACTTAAAATCTTATGTCAATCACTGAAGCTTGTCACCTTAAAGTAAAATCAGTATTTTCAAGGCCAACTATTGTTACACACTAAGTCACACAATAAACCAACTTACAAGTATTTAACACAAAAATTAATGTAATTTATAGTATTATTCTTCTTCTACCTCCATCAAGAGAGGAAAGCATTCACAAACAATTTGATAATGTCTCTGGGACAGGAAAAAGATAAAACTATAGACAGTTGCATCTAGTCTACAATTAGTAAAAATATACGGGATGGTTCATTTACATAACAGGCAAGTAGGAATGAATGTATTTGTGAGCTGTCCAAAGTGCTTTTCAAAAGCCTATGCCCATCTCTAATACACCTGTGAATTAAATGTTATGAAATGCATTTAAAATATACTTCATTGATTTTTTAATTTATCATAAGACTCAAACTCATATTTTGGTGCCAGTCTAGATGCTGATGTGGTTTTGAAACCAATAGAGGCTCCTATTGAAGCATTTTTCTTTGCTTCAATTATTTTATTGGTTGAGTGGAAGAATTATAAACTAAGAAGTCATTATGATGATGTAATAA